CATCTCTTACAGTTGTATAGGCCTGATATAGTCATATTACAATTAGGAACAAAGATCAATCTCTTCATTATGTTATATCATTTCTTTCACTTTCATTCAATCATACTGGATGCCATTAGATCAATCTGATCAATTCATCAATTAATTTGTTCGTTCTGCTATGTCAATTCTGCATTTTCATCGGATTTTATCCATGCTAATAGGTACATGTGCTTTACTCTCTTATTTTTTTAAAAAATCTTGTAATGGAATCTCCCATAGATTCCATCAAAATCATGTTGTCTTTCAATTTGATCAAAAACTTCATGTCATTATGTTTGACGTCATTTCATTGGACCCCAGTAGCTATAGCTACAGGAGATTGGGACAAGTGATGTACACACATTTCAAAATGGCGAACAGACAGAATGAAACTCCCCATCAGTTCATAAAAAATAGTATCAGGGATACATTACTTGACGTTATAAATTCTTTAGAATCATATGCAAACTATGACTTTGCGTTGCATAAGATAGAATGGCATTGCTGCTTGATTTTAAGGTTAGGAGGAGAGAATAGAAAGAATAGAGAGATTGTAGCAGATTTTCTCAAGCTTGGATTGATCACAATATCAGGACAGCCAGAAACAAATCTCCAAATCAGCTATGGACTATTGGAATGAGTCAAAGAGAACTAGACGATGATGAAATTTCTAATCAGGTGAAAACCTATAATTCTCCGAAACGGAAACGAGCCGGGGAATGAGAACTAGTTAGAAGAGCGCGGGGACTGGGTTTGTTGTTTTAGGCCGTGTTCTGTAGTCGATTATCGTTCAAAAAAGGTTAACTTTAGGCTAACTACAATATAACTACTCAAATCTATAGAATTTTTCTTACTTTATCTAAATATGAAGTCTTTGCTTCTCACGTAATACGGTTTTGGAGTAAAAGGCTGTGGAAATTCGAGAATTTTGAACCTTGTTTTGATGTCCGCCATCTTCGATTTCGGGAAATGCGCACGCGCAGTTGCTATTTTAGAGGGAATAACCGCTGACCAGTACAGGCTCAAAAAATACTTCCAGAGCTTGTAAAATGAATTAAAATGTCGAGCCATCG